TTTTGGAAAAATCTATTTTTGTGAAATGTTGATTCATGCAACACAGAGCTTTCAAAGTCATACTTTTGATCATATGTTAGTTTAATAGTGTTAAGGTTTACTTTTATTGCATCCTTTCCTGTTATATGTATAGTGTTTTTTATTGATCAAAAGTATTTACAATTGCGTGCAGTTGATAATTAAAATGTATTGATAATTTACAATGGGTTATTCAATAACAAAGGTTTTTTTATAATACAAACTGACTTTTGCAATAATATACATGTATGGAATTTTTGATTAACGAAGTAAAAAAACCATTTAAAGTTTCAAAAATTGTGTCTTAATCATTCACATTTAAATCATATTTTAGATAGGTGATCTCTTTATTCATGAGTTAAAAAACTTGTTGAACTAATATTATTTGGCAGTAATCCTTTGGAATTTGAGTCATTTTAATGTTATTATGTACTCTGCATGAGGTTCTTATTTATGTATTTTTATTTCAATAACGATTGTTTTTAGTCAGTGATGTATACTTATTTACATAACTAGAATGTTCTACATAGATGTCATTAATGTTTTTTAATACTGTTTGTTGAAGGAGATCGTGACTTACTCTTCATCTTCGTTCGTTATTTAAATGTGTTTATGTAACAAAACTCACAAGGATAAAAGATTGATGTTACAATAAGGTATGAATTTGATCATCTTTTTTAAACTGATATGTATGTGGTCGCGTTCTTTATATTAAATCTCTCATCTTTGTAAGGTATTTGACATGTAAAGAACTAAAGCAAGCATAATTTTGTCTACACGGTCGTCTTATTTCTAAGGCAAAGGTAATTTTAGAAACTTAAGAAATATTTTAGAACCACATTACCGACATAACAAATTAGTTAAACAGCCCCTCGATAAAGTATGACTAAACATGCATGAGAAATCATATCTAAATTGATATACCAACTTTCTACCTATTGACAATAAGCTGCAAAGGAAAGTTAAACCTGTTGAAAGGTATGGAGAGGTGAAATAGCATACTTGTCTATGGAAAGAAATGGGAATCTGTGAAAATTTTTGTAAGGGTTACAGCATGTCCAATCAGGCATTACCTCAATTTTCCTACCGACGCCACTTTTGACTAATCGCTGTGTGTAACAAAGTGTTGTTAATTGTATTGAGCAAACCATTCATTTTAGAAGTAAGAAAATTTGTAAAATGAGCTAATGTTAAACACAGGAAGAATGTATTTATACAGAGGAAGAACGTGACAGAATCTATTTTTGTGAAATGTTGATTTATTCAACAAAGTGAGCTTTTGAAATTGTACTTTTGATTAAGTTTGGTTAACAGTTTTAGGGTTTACTCTCATTGCATCCTTTACTGTTGTATCTACAGTGTTTTTTATTGAACATGTAAATAATTACAATTGCTTGCAGTTGAGGTTGAAATGTATTCATGATTTACAAAGGTTTATTCAATAACAAAGATTTTTTATAATATGAACTGACTTTTGCAAGTATATATATATATATGGAATTTTTGATTACTGAAGAGAAAAAAATCCATTCACAGGTTCGAAAATTGTGTCTTAATTATTGACATTATATTCTTGTCTTAAATAGGTGATTCGCTATTCCTGAGTTAAAACTTGTGAAACTTTATAAGATTTAGCAGTAGTCCTTTGGAATTTGACTAATCTCAATGTTATTATGTACTCTGCATGAGGTTCTTATTTATGTATTTTTATTTCTATAACAATTGTTTTTAGTCAGTGATGTATACTTAGTTATATAACTAGAATGTTCTACATAGATGTCATTAATGTTTTATAATACTGTTTGTTGAAAAAGATCTGACTCACTCTTTATCTTCGTTTGTTATTTAAATCTGTTTATGTAACAAAACTTACATGGACAAAAGATTGATGTTACAATAATGTATGAATTATGATCACCATTTTTAACTGATAGGTATGTAGTCGCGTTTTTATACTAAATCTCTCATCTTTTGTTATACAGGTAACATGTAAAGAACTAAAGCAAACATAATTTTGTCCATACGATCGTCGCATATGAAATCTTACTTCTAAAACAAAGGTAATTTTACGTAAGTTAACCGAGATTTTGTATTTGCATTTCTAACTTAACAAATTTGATACCGAAGCATTGCGTAGTATGAAGTGTGACTATAAACAAATCAATGTTTATTTCCATTCCAAATGAAAATCGTTTTAATGATTCTATAAGTGACTTTTAAAGCTATATTTAATACAACGACTGAAAAGTAGGTTTCATTTTTCGTTTCAAATTATTCTCTATAAAAATAGCGGCTCTTACACGAAGAAAAGGTTTGATAATAAACAGTACAATGTACAAATGTTTTGGGAAACAGGGAAATGTTTCTTCGAAGTTTCCTAATTTACTCACACTCGATATTCACGTAAAGATATTTTTGCTTTATTTTTTATAACAAAGGGAATACGCTCATAAGCAACATACGAACATCATAACTTTTATCCCCCCAATACAAACCCACGTGATTAGTCTTTTCACAAAAATAACATAAAGTTTCTCACACTTTCCCTCATATGACTTTTATGTTACAAGTAATTTGCTTTAGTACTTAATGTTATGGTTAATGTACATTGTTCTCATCCTGTAAAATTTCTCGCACACGTTGTTTTGTCTCGATGGCTGCTTGTCTCTGGTCCAACGACGACACATTTCTTCCTTAGTCTTTTTTAAATACTTTAAACCTTTTTCAAACTCTTGGGTTCGTGAAAAGGTTTTAATTCAGGAAGGTGACTGGACTTAACAGAAAGCATTGAGTTAGGCGTAAGAGTAGACTGTTGTCGTCTTCCTATATGTAACAAAGCGGTCTACTGTTTATTGCTAAATCCACATCCAATAAAACTTTAGACAACTCATCCCAAGTTGACACACCGTTTCCAATAGCCCTATAGAAGCAGCTCTTCATCAATCCTATTAACTGTTCAAACTGACCTCCGCACCAGGGAGCCCTGTTGAGATTGAACCGCCACGACACCAAATCTTTGTTGAGAAAGGGATTGAGCTTTTCGTCTTTCTGTACACTCTTCAGCTACTTTGATGCTGCCACGAAGGTGGTAGCGTTATCCGAGTATATGATGGAAGGTTTTCCTAGCCACGAGGCGTTTAAAGCTTTTGATGAATTAATGGTTTCCAAGCTAGGCACGAGATCAAGAAATACTGCCAGTGTCAGAGAACATGAATACAAAACGATGTAGGATTTCCCTTCTCTTCTATTTTTTGTGTACTTTATGGGTTCTGCGAAAACTACGCCAATGATTTCAAATGGATTAGATGGGTCTGTTCTTGTCTTCGGAAGGGGACCAGGACAAGGCACCTGCGCTGGTGTCAGTCTAAACCTAGCCCCAACAAGATCCAATGATTTTCTTTGTTAACTTGCGAAGTCTTGGAACCAAAATCTCTAGCGTTCATGGGCCATAATTAATCCTACCCCACCGTGCAAGGTGTTAAAATGAGCTCTCAGCACCAATTTCGAAGTAAACTTCGCTTGGTCTGGGAGGTATATTGCGTATTCCCCACCAAGTCGCCCATGACATCTCCATATTCCCTTATTACTTAACTGGAGATTGAGTTGCTCTTTATCTTTAAAGAATTCCTTCGTGCTCACGAACTGTTGTTGCGCTCGTTTTATTTAATACTCCTCTTGTTCCAACACCTAATCCGTAGTCAATGCTCCATTTCTTTTCTTCGTTGGGTTAAGACAGTTTTGCGTAAACCGTGCCATCCATCCAAAAATTCTGATTATTTTATGTCGCTCGAATTTATTGAGAATTTGGTCAAGACAACGGTTTTCAACAGTCAGAAATGATAAATCCCGTTTGATCTTCTTCTCTGCGTTGCTATACTCAGTAGCGTTCGTCACGAGAGAAGGGAGCCAGTCTTGGGGTCGAGTCTGCCAGGATGGTCGCTTCCACCAAAGATCACACTTTTCTACACTACCGCCACAACTTCCCAAATCTATTGGATTTCCGCAGTTGGTACGTGCCTCCAAGATACATTGGAATGACTTTGAATTTTCTTTACTCTGTTCGCTACAAATTGCCTGTACTCTCCATCATCTCTCAACCAATGTAACGCGACGGTGCTGTCTAGCCAACAGGTAATTTTTCTACAACCTTAAATCCATACAATGCTTTTCTAACGTTTACCGCCAAGTTGATAGCCATATGTCCTGACACAAGCTCCAATTCAGTGATGGTTAAATTCAATTTTTGCCAAACAAGATTTCGCTGCTACGAGGCTTTGGCTCCCTCCAGATGATTGCTTAATTACTGCATACACTGCCCCTTTTGCTACTTGCATCACCAAATGCGTGAATCTTAACTTCTTTAATGTTCTCTTAATGAGAGATATGCTGCTCTGGAAGGAAACAAATCGAGGTAAATTCCTTTCCCACTTTAAAAACTGTTTTGCAAACTCCTTAGGCAACGATTCGTCCCAATTGAACTTTATTTCACAAACATGACGATATGTAATCTTACCCACAAGTGCAGTGGCGTAACTAGAACGTTAATTGGGGTTGGGATATATTCCGTTGTGCCTTACTGATTTCTGTTGAATATAATTTGAATTTCAAAGAAATCAGTAGGGCACAACTGAATATACATATCCCTCCCAATTAACGTTCTAGTTACCTCTCGCAAGTGTCATGGGTGATACCAGTCCTAGCGGATCGTTAATCTTAGCCAAATACGCTAGTATGCCTCGTTTCGTCAACACTGTTGGAAATTCAAGAAACAATACTTGTAACACGTCGAGCAACATCTCCCATTTGAGCCCCAACAACTTACATTCGCCCTATGTTGAGTTTCCTTCTAGTTGTCGTTTTGAAAATGATAACTCGTCATCCTTGTTATCTGTTTCCAGATCCTGAACATTAGAATGCCATTTATGTAGTGTAAATTTCGCTTTGTCAAAAATCTCCCCCGCTGCACTCTTTAACTCTCTCGCCTACTCGGTGACAGATGCTCCCGAAATCAAATTGTCCACGTATAAGCTCTTGCGAATATCCTCGACGACCTCGGGATAACGGTTTTCTAAGATGTTAAGGTGTTCCTGGAGCACTCTGTTGAGAAAGAAAGGCGATGGTGTTAGCCCAAACACCACTTGAATGAATCGAAGCACTTCTATTTCACTACTGTTGACGTTCTTGATCCAGTGAAAACGTAAGGAATCTTGTTCACTTTCACGCACTCGCACCTGTAGAAAGGCCTTTTTCAGATCTCCAGCGATAGCTACTGCATGAAATCGATTACGGGCAATGACGCTCAAGAGCTGATTATGTAATGGTGGTCCAGTTAGCAAACAGTTGTTGAGAGAAAATTACTACACTCACTTGCAGACGCATCGTACACAATTCGTAGTTTCGTAAGTTTCAGCGTCCTTCATTACGACTGCTTTGTGTGGCAGATAGAATTCCTTTCTCTTCGCTTTATGATTCCCTTTCTCAACAACTCCTAGCTGTAGTTGTTCTCGCATCACCGCGTCATACTCCATTAACGTATTTTCACGTTTCAGTTTGCATAAAAGAGAATTAAGGCGTCTTAAGCTTCCGTTACGATTACAAGTTAATGATGGATGATTAGGTTTCCATGGTAACGAGGTCTCATACCATCTGACGTCCGAACGTATTAAAGGACACATGCAACATAAAATTTGGATTGTTATTTTTGTACTTTACATAAAGATATAGCTCCAACTAGTAGTTCACGAAAGTTTGAGACTCAAAGTATAAATATTTTTGAAGATATGGAGGTTCAAAGTTGATGCTTTACTGATAACGTATTGAAAATGCCCGACGAGCTAACGACGGCTACCGATTGGAAAAAGGTAGTTGTGACGTAATAGTTGACATTAGCTAAACGCGGTCAATTGCGCGCTTCGTTCAAAATATATTGGTAACTTCTTTGCCTGTATAAACAACACGACAATTTAGCATTGAAAATATGGTTTATTGTGCCGCATTTAATTGTATAAACGGTTCTTCTAAGAACCACCAAACGCAGCAAAAGGTTTCTTTTTTTCTTTTCCCGAAAACAAGCGCATGCGAGATATTTGGATTGAAAAAATCCGACGCAAAAATTTGAGGCCAACAAAAAGCTCAAAATTGTGCTCGCAACATTTCGAGAGTTCGTGCTTCGTGCAAAATTTTGAAGCGATGCAATCAGTAGGATGGACAGCAGGACGGCTTCGCCTTAAGAAGGACGCTGTACCCACGATTTTTTAATACTTTGTGGAACCCACAAGTGTAGCATCTAAAAGGAAGCAGCCAACAAATGTTAGAACTGCATTTGAGAAGAGACGAAGGCAAGAGGTGATTATTATAGTTATAGTTAGCAATATTTGTTTACATTTATCAAAAACTAAGCTATACAGCATTACTAAATTGAGGACAATTTTATAATTTTAGATTATTGACGACGTTCTAGCAGAACATGACGACTTTCTTGAAGGCGACGACCACGATGTGTCGACATCGACTCGAAATGTTTGTGCGTTTTACCACAAAGGAAGTTTGTTTAAGATAAAGATGTCAAGATATATGTAGACAGCGAAACACAAACATATATAGTGGTAACTAATTCAGACTAATGTCGTTTGATCTTTTCTTTGTTATTTTAACTCACAGAAAATTTCTTGTACCTTAGAAGCGCAATGTGAAACGCCAAGCAGCCTTAACAATCCGTCCGCAAAAACACCTTAAGGTCAAGAACCACTCAAACAAAAGTGCCAAATATGATAAGTAGAGGTATAGACTTTCCATTTCGGCCGTTTTGATTTGTGTGAAAAATCCAGCAATACGATAATTTTATTTAAAAGTTGAGTTAATTTCAACAAAAAATCATAGCACACAGACGACGTCATGTAAAATTGAACATTTTGAGGATAGCGCTGTATGGTCTGATACAGAAAGCACGTCGACGATGAGCAATAGCTACAATGGATCAGACTCTCACTTCTTTTCTTCACTTTCAGGCATAGGTTCAATGTCATGTGTGTACACGACCATAACTGTTTTTTCGACAGCTTCGTTTGTACACACTGTGGCAAACTCTTCCTCTTGTGTGATACAATTATGATGGCCATGTATCAGAGGATCAGTATTGCTTACCTCTTGGCAACATATACTTTCCCGTCCTGTACTCGTGACCACACAAAAGCCACACTCGCGTCTAAAGATAAAACATTGTTTTACTTTGGGTAAAACAATGAAGCATCAATAAAATGCAACTAACCATTCAACATTTCTAATTCTGTGAATGTGTTTATCTTCGCTTTCCGATGACGGAGTATAATCATCATTATGACCACCTTATGCGTTGGCAAAAGTCTCAAACATGTAAGGTTGTACCTCATTGTTATTGATGACAATATCATAATCGGCATCTTCTTCGGAAGAATCCATTAATTTTGATAAATAAAAAACAGTAATAGCAAACTACCGAAAGCCGTGCAAGTCGTAGAACGATATAAGAACGATGCTTGTTTATGTCAACTAATATGTCACTCTTTCCCAGTTCCCAGACTTAAACAATCTCACGGCGTTTTAGCAATGGTCATCGAATATCGTGTTTTTACCGATTATAACCCTAAATATCTTTTGAAATATTTTGCAGACGACTTTGAAACTTGGTACGTCTTATTTTCACGCTATAAGCATTACAATAAAATAAAGTTGTCTTCTAGCTTGCATGTGTCCTTTAAATGTTCTTTGAATTCTTCCATAACCATTGAACTAGTTCCTGAATAATCTGCCAAAACTAAGACATCTAATGCACACAAGTCTGATACTGAACAAGCGACTCTTGCTCATCGTTTCCAGGTGACATTACTGCCCAACCAAATCGATCACGTTCTGCTACCGGTTCCCCAATACGTCCTACTTTGAGTTTCTTAAGGGTGCGTATTTTAACGTAATCATTAACTCCTAAAATTATATGAATCGGCAACAGCCTTTTCTCGTCAACGTCGTTCATATGTACTCCATTTAGATGGGGAAATTTCGATAAAGTCTCCTTGTAACAAACGTTTTCCACGAATACCAACTCTTTTTTATCAATTTTTGTCACGTTAACTTTGAGACTGAAGTCATTCATCAAGAATTCCATATTCATCTCGTACACTTGCATTTTTCTTGTTGTAATCCAGATTAACATGGCAATGTGACGCAGTCAGTAGACTTTAACTTTAAATTAGTGAGGTTAACAGCTGTCCTTGAAGCGTAAGAGTGGCTTGCACTGCTGTCCAATCGAGCCCGGAACTTAAATCTATTGATATGTAAACAACAACTTTGATTTAGTGACGTTAACAGCTGTCCTTGAAGTTTAGGAGTGGCTTGCACCGCTGTCCAATAGAGCCCGAAACTTAAGTCCATTGATATGTACAACAAGAACTTTGATTTAGTGAGGTTAACAGCTGTCCTTGAAGTGTAGGAGTGGCTTGGACCGCTGTCCAATAGAGCCCGGAACTTAAATCCATTGATATGTACAACAACAACTTTGATTTAGTGAGGTTAACAGCTGTCCTTGAAGTGTAGGAGTGGCTTGGACCGCTGTCCAATAGAGTCCGGAACTTAAATCCATTGATATGTACAACAACAACTTTGATTTAGTGAGGTTAACAGCTGTCCTTGAAGTGTAGGAGTGGCTTGGACCGCCGTCCAATAGAGCCCGGAACTTAAATCCATTGATATGTACAACAAAAACTTTGATTTAGTGAGGTTAACAGCTGTCCTTGAAGTGTAGGAGTGGCTTGCACCGCCGTCTAAAAGAGTCCGGAACTTAAATCCATTGATATGTACAACAAGAACTTTGATTTAGTGAGGTTAACAGCTGTCCTTGAAGTGTAGGAGTGGCTTGCACCGCCGTCTAAAAGAGTCCGGAACTTAAATCCATTGATATGTACAACAAGAACTTTGATTTAGTGAGGTTAACAGCTGTCCTTGAAGTGTAGGAGTGGCTTGCACCGCTGTGCAATAGAGCCTCAAACTTTAATGCATTGATATGTATAACAACCACAGGATGTATCACCAAACACTTTCCAATATGGTTTGCAGTCATCCCTGGTTCTTTGGACTCTTTAGGGTTTTCATTCTTATCACAAATGGAGGTGAGATGCTTACCTTGACAGATTTGACATCTTGTTTTGCTCATACAATCTGCTACTCTATGTTTTGGTCCTGCACAATTGAAGCACAGACGCTTTTCTGCCAAAATTTTCTTTTGATTCTCGCTTCTAACGACTTTTTTGCACTTAACTGCTTTATGATTTCCAGAACAGGAGAAGCAGCCCTTGTTCTGATGCTCACAGCCATTTTCACCATGATTGCTTGCCATAATTGATCTCCCTCTCTCTTTTGGAGTCCTTTTGCCCCGGTCCTTTATAGGATTGTTGCGGGTCCTTTTCCCTAGGGATTCGACAAACTGTGTGAAGTTCCATTTATCCCAATCTTCATTCATGAGTGTCAACTCACTCTTAATAACAGCTAACATTTCAAAGGTAAATCGAACGGCTGCATCAGGCTTATCGAGACATTTTAATGTTTGCAATGATTCAACATTATACAAAAGTGTTTCATACAAGTTGTGAATTTTTCCCACAACTCGTTCACCGATTGTTGGCAGCTCAAGTATACTTTTCGCATAGGCACTTATAACTTCTCCTTCATCACCATATTGTTTCTCTAGAATACCTATGGCTTGATTATATCCTTCTTTGTAAAAGGGAGACCATCTATTAACTTTCTCACCTTCAATTCAATTAACTCTTTTAGATAGGAGAACTTAGTACCTGGATCAACATTTGATTTATCTATTTGAGCCCCCCGGAACCTGACCCAGTCTCGTGGTATCCTATCAAACTTAGTTGTAACGAGTTTTGGCATCTTTACTGTACTAGATCCCTCACTGCTAGAACTTGATCGAGAATCTTTCAGCTTTTGTTGAAATTCGAAATCGAGTTTCTGCCTTTCTGCATCTGCCTCTTTTTTTTGAAGTAACCATTGCTTAGTTAGTTCTCTTTCAAATTTCAGTTTCTGTTGCTGCTCCAATTTCACAAAATCTTCCTGTGCTGCCAGCTCAACTCGTTTCAACTCGTTAGTGATGTGTCGTATACATTGTTCAGCCTCAGTTAATAAGTCGTCCACTTCCTTCGACCACTCTTGCACTTCTTCTCCAGTTTTACCATTAGTAAGTATTTTATCTTAAATACATTCCTTCAGTTGATTTACTGCTGTTGAGCTTGTTGCAAATGACAACCACTGTCATTCCATGGCCTCCTTATCTCCTTTAGACACGATATATTCAGATCTATTCATGTGTAATTTTGAGGTTTTTGACTTGGCAGTTAGGTTGGTAAGATTTACTGCCATCTTTAACAATTTGTACTAAAAATCTTTGCGAAAGATCAGGAGAAATTTGTCCTTTCGATCAATTTAACGTCAGAGTATGTATGCTTACACGTCGTATATTTTCCGATTTAAGCCCGCAGTATCGTCCTAATCCTTTTCAATCCCCGGGGTCGCTACTGTTTCAAAACAAGAAAATGTTTCATCGAAGTTTCCTAATTTACTCACACTCTCAGGTTGATATTTTTGCTTTATTTTTAAAACAAAGGAAATACGGTTATAAGCAACATACGAACATCATTATTATTTTCATCTCCCAAAAAACAAAACTCACGTGATTAGTCTTTTCACAAAAATAATGCGCCTCCCCATTTGGACACATGAAAACTGCAAAATTGAAGTTTATAGAAAAAGTAATGAATGATTTGTGTATTATTATATCATTTATCAATTGTTAAGTATTTAAAAATTCTTGTAGCATCTTCAAACGGAATCACGCTATAAGTAATATCATTATGAGCAGACATGTGGTTAGGATGTAAAATTTGGGGGATTAACAACATTTTTTTGGGGGGGAGGGGGGACAGTTGTAGTCGTCAAGTTATACTGTAATAAAACAATAATATAATTTATCGTTTGTTACTTTTAGTGGGTAGCCGCTGTGCATGCACGGCTATAAATGACTTGTAGTACTAATTTTAATTCATCCTTTAACTTTTGTAAACATTTTGTACATTTTAAATTATACCTTTTTTCACAAACTCATTCGTTATTTCTAGAATAAAAAATGGTTTCGCCACCTAATAAATAAAAAAGATTGAGGAAAATGCATCTCGTTGTGCTCATTTTGTACATTGCAAATTGATGCTTTTTGCACAAACTCGTTCTTCATTTCTAGCTTGAAAAATGGCTCAACCACCTCAAAAACTTAAGTTTGAGGAAAACGGATCTCGTTTAACCAAACTCTTAATAAATAAAGGAACACAAGCCTTAAAAACAACATTGCAATTCATTATAAATCTTCAATCATCAAACTTAAAAGATAAACTTTATGATCCTTCTACCAAGAGTAAATTGACATCACTAAAATTCAAAGTTATCAGCAAAGAGCAATGGAACCTTCTTTACCCGTCAACTGGCTCACCTGACATTGAAAATTTTGATGTTTCATTATTGACTGTCTTGTTGAGAAATACATGTAATCTAACAGCGCCACATGGTGGATGGAATAATCTTCCTTCCTCTTCAGATACCTCAATCTCAGCAAACATTGCAAGAATAAAGTTTTATCGAAACGAAGTTTACGGTCACATAACTAAAACTAGTTTAGATGATAGTAAGTTTGAGTACTTGTGGCAGAAAATTTCAAAAGCATTGATTGGTCTGGGTATTCAACAAACTGAAATAGATGAATTAAAGAAAGCTCCACTTACTGCCGATGAGGCAAATTATAGTGAAATGTTAAAAAACTGGTGTACTGTTGCTGAGAAAACAAAAGAAGATGTGGAAAATATAAAAAATGACGTGGAGGAAATTAAAGAAATTGTGTCAACAAAAGCTGATGTAGCTGAAATTACACAAGAGATGGCTACAAAAGCTGATGTAGTAGAAATTAAACAAGAGATGGCAACAAAAGCTGATGTAGCTGAAATTACACAAGTGATGTCAACAAAAGCTGATGTAGATGAAATTGCACAAGTGATGGCAACAAAAGCTGATGTTGCTGGAGTAAGAGAAATGTTACAGGACAAAATATGCTCAGATTTTCAGAAACCTGGAATGTGTAATTTTATTGGTCTTATAAAAGATCATAACAAGAAATACCTTAAAGGAACTAGACAATGGTTATTTGAAAAACTCGACACTTGGTTTAACGATAGAAGTGAAGATGCTTCTAATGTCATGATTTTGATTGCCGGTCCTGGCGTTGGTAAGAGTGTGTTTGCTGCTGAGTTGTGTCGACGATATTCTGAAAAGAAGAAACTTGCTGCTTCTCATTTCTGCAGATATAATCGATCAGATGAGAGGAATCCTCGAATGTTGATAGAATCATTGGCCAGTAGCATGTGTTATACAATATCAGATTTTAAAAGTAAATTGAATGAAGAATTACAGAGAAAACATTCCTACGAATCAGTCACCGATGCATTCCGTGTTTTATTAAATAATCCATTGCATTCATTAAAAGATCATAAACCAATGCTTTTGGTTATTGATGCCTTAGATGAAAGTCAAGTTGATGGCAAAAGTGAATTGTTGGAATTGATTGCAGAAGAGTTTGACCGACTGCCTAAATGGATTAAAATCTTCATCACCAGTCGTCCAGAACTTCCTGTTCAAAGGAAGTTGAAAGACATGAATCCTGTGGAAATTACAACTCATCCTCGTGATGAAAACAACGAAGAAGACTTGCACAAGTATTTGAGACATGAATTGAGTCATCCGGCCAAGAAAAATAGTGATGATGCTTCCCTGTCAATAATTAAAAAATTGAAGGCCTTAGTTTTGGGACATCAGTCAAAGGATTTGGTGCAGGAAGATCTTTACGAGTCATTAGTTGATAAATGTGAGGGATCATTTCTTTATGCGTATTACGCACAACTGAACTTGAAGGAAGAAAATATTGAGCTTACTTACGAAAACATTCAACAATTGGTCCCTAGTGGGTTAAGCGGTTTTTACACAAAGCAATTTAAAAGAGTAAAAGAATTGTTAACGAAGGAAAGTCCCAGAAATTCTGTTATCTCAGAAACTACTTTCATGCAATTTCTTGAATTGTTGGCTGCCTGTCTTGAGTTTTTACCATTAACTTTACTGTTTAGCTATTTAGGTTTTTCTGGTGACATCATTGAATCGTTATCTCAAATTTTGCCAGTTTACGATGATTGTTTAACCGTGTATCACAAATCTCTAATTGATTGGTTGAAATCAGATGGTTATGAACAGCATGAGTTTACAGTTAATCCAAAAAATGGTCATAAGTTCTTATGGCATGCTTGTGAGAAAGTGTTTGAACAAATCAAGTCGATGAACATTTTTGAAGATAAGATGAACACTGCTATGATTAAATATGCTTTGAAGAATGGAATCTATCATATGTCAAAATGTGGTGAAAATGTTGACGTTAGCTGGGCAGTAGATGTCAAAGTGTATTGTGCGAGGTTAATGTTTGTGGAAGACATTAAGTTGGTTAACATTTGGTCTGAATTGTTTAAAATCATTAAGGAACTACGAACTTTCTTGAGAAAAGATGTACTTGAGGAACTACTATTTTATTTGATTAGGCCAATAGGATCTGCATATAAGTATGACTTTGATATTAGCTTAAGCTATTTACAAACTATTGCAAACAGAATTGATGTTAGTAACGAAAAAAGATCAATGGCAAGGGACTTATTGAAACAAGGAAATTTTTCTTGGTTTGAGGATTTAGACACAACATATTTAATAAACCATCATCATTTGACTGTCTCCTTGCGTGCTAACGTTACATCTCTTTGTGTGTCGTCCGATGAAGAACTTCTTGCTGTAGGATATGAAAATGGTCAAATATCTATTTTTGAGCTTCCAGAATTTACAGAAAGATGCACTCTAGGCACTGCACTTAATGATTCAAGGTTCGATAAGTGGGATGATGTAGACGAACTTATTTCCTTTGGTGCCATTTATTACCATCCAACATCTTGGGAATTTTGTTATGTACGTGGAAACATCTGTTGTTGCTCCTTTTCACCTACCGGAAATAGACTGGTAACTAGTGATGGATCTACTGAAGTAAAGTTGTGGGACGTTAAGAATGGACGTTCGTTATGTTTACAGTCAGATGATGTCGTTAATCATTGCTCTTTTTCAGATTCTGGTTTGTTTATTACAGCAAGATATGATGGATATGAATCTAAAGATGTGTTCACTGCATGGAATTCATTAACTTTGCAAAGAATTGATCGACGCTGCGTTGTTGATTACCACGAACTACAATTCACCCATAAATATTCAGAGTTCCTTGGTGCAGTCATTGGATCTCGTTCCTATGTTTTTCAATTCCCAAAGGCAACCGATGTTTTTTCAAGTAAAAAGGATTATCCATCATCTTTACAATTAATGACAACACACAATTCTCGTAAATGTATTTTGTATCATACTAATCAGGATGTAAAGCTTTCTGAAATCACTCAGTTGACGAAATACAACGATCGAGGAGTAATGTGTTTCCCAAGACAAAGGTGTCGTTGTTATAAAAGGATTCTTGAAGTAGATTATCCAATCTCGTTTAAGGAATTTTACGTTGTGCCGTATCTTTCCAAGCTTAAAGTTTTCAAAACTGATCATCTTTGGAGACCTTCATTTATCTTTGAGATATTTGAAATTAAATGTTGTTGTTTTTCACCGGATGGATCTTTTTTTGCTGCTTTCGCTGTTGGTGACCACGTCAATATTCATATTTGGAGTATTGAACGTTGCACTATTATTCAAACCGTACCAATTGAACTGAAGAATGCATTAGGATGTTGGTGGTCGGATGGTTTACTGTGGATATGGGATGGTTCTGATCATCTTACGAAGATATCAATTTCGTCTGAAAATTTTGTAGATTCTACTCAAGCAAAGTATGTTAACATTGGATTTAAACCTTGGAAAATCTTAACATTTGGTGATGTCTTAGTTTGTAAAGACCATAAAGGTTTTGTTCAAGTTGTTAGAATTACCAAGGGTGAGATAAAATACAACAAAAGACTTCCTGTCGACAGTTTTGAATTGAAAGCAGCAGCTGTATCACCTGATAATTCTGTTATTTTAACTGTAAACAAAACAGAATACACATTATGGGAATGGGGAATTAACAACAATGAACTTTACTTGAAACCTTGGCATACTGAAAAATTACCCATAAAAGCTGTCATTAAAAAATTTGTTCGAGAACACATAACTGTATATGATCTAGAGTTCAAATGCTACATAAGTGACAGTAAACAAGCAGTCATAACATTTTGCAAAGAAATCAAATTTATGAACATTTATGTAATTAATGTTGACGACAGCGGTGATGTGAATGAGATTTTGCACGATGTCCGTGGCTGTCTCTTGCACTCTAACCTAATCGTACGCAAATCTTATTGCATTGGAGTGTTTGATATGTCATTGGTTGCTGTAGATTTAAAGAGGGTGAAGTATGCGCAAAATTGGGGAAGATTATTTTATTATATATAACTATAATTCCAATACAGAAGATAGCTTATAGTGAAAGTTTATATAGCAGAATTCGATTTTTAAACTTAATGTTCCTGAATAAAATACATCAACTCAAACTTTAATAGTAAATTCAAAACCTTTTGAGAAAATTGCACATAGACGTTTAAGGTCGATGATTGCTTGTTTCACCTTCTATAGTTTTTCAGACAAAGTATAATTTATTCTACCAGGCAATCTTTAAGAATTTTCAACAATTGATAACGTTAAATGTACAGTTCCAACTTGTGACAATTGTAAACATAACAAAAACATTTTTTACTACTATAAATATTAAAGCTCACCAAAGTGCTTTAAAAAGAGCCATTTAATAATAAAAATGACGTATAAAGGAATATTTTATTTTAGTAGTAACGTTTCATCTTGTTCTCAAGATATCACTCAGAAATTGAATTATAAGTGTAGTGGTATTTGTATATGTAATAGCTATTTATTATACATTAAATGAAAATGGTGGGATGAAAAGATGAAGTAGTGGATAATGGAAATCACTGAAAGAAACAAAAAAAAACACACACAATCACAAAAAGCATGATGGCAGGTTTTGTGAATCTCCACTTATCCTTGGCTTTTATTATTCATAATAAGAATTTCCTTCCGTCTGGTATATACCTGGTCAATATTCTGAAGAAACATTTACTAATGATCTTAAAGATCCTTCTGTTTTAAACATTCAATGATTTTCTTAGTTCTACGTTTGGAGCATCTTATGAAAAACAGTGCTGTATAGCGTGTGTTGTTGTCTTTTAACGATTAGTAAACAACTATGTAAACATTGGAGTTTTTTTTTCGTAACAACATGTTTCAACATCTCGTGATGTCACCTTAGTATTAGTGACAATATTATGCATATGATATTATATATGATAGTATGAGATGGTGCAGTACTGGTTTAAATTATGGTAAATGAGAGTACATGTAGTAAAGTTAATGAATTAAAGGGCTTCTTTAATTCAAAATTTCAAAATCTTATGTTTTTAAGTTTTTCTTTACTATACAAAAGTGAGATAAAATATCTAGTGGGATACTAAGGATAAAGTAAGAAATTTAAGGAGGAGGCGACCCCCTTCCTTCCTTCTCCCAGACTACTGTATATTGAATAATCTATGTTACATTGAGGTTTAACTTGGTAAAATTTGAGGCTTTAGGGCTGTTTACACTATATACAGGATTTGCTCATATCACGACATCTTCATTTGTTTTAAAGTTGTAACAGTTTGGAGTAAATGCTTA